CTCCTGCACTCAAACCTAGCTGTCCTACGGCAGACCAACAGGGCTGTCCTGTGGACGCTGGGGAAAAAGCACCCCCTAAAGGTGCAAGAGGCGACGCCAGACCTGCCCCAGAGTGCGCAGGAGAGTCTTGCACAGCGGCTCGTAGCCCAAGGTCTAATCCTGCCACTCCTAATTCCTCTTTTTGGCAAAGTCTCTTCAGCCCTCCAGAAACTAATTTGCAGAACAACAACAACAACAGAAGAAGAAGAAGGAAAGTCCCCGTCCTGAGGAAGGGAAGTGAAAAGTACTGGGTTCGCTGCATGGAGGACTCGGAAGACGACATGCTGTAGCACACGTTTATTGTACTTAACACATACAAAGACTAAGACTCTAACGGCCAACAGGGCCAACTATATACACATCCACCAGCAACCCCCACTCCCATTGGAGGCAGGGCCGGCTCACTCACTAGGCGAACTAGGCGATCGCCTAGAGCGGGATGGCTCTTAGGGGCACCAAACTGCACCTGGCCCCATACTCTGGGAGTTTCTTCATTATTTCTGTTTTTAATTCTTCCTAAAATGCATTTATTTTTGAAAATTGGTGGGTGCACGGGGGGGGGGCAGAAGGGATCCTTGACTAGGGTGCAAAATAAGCTGGAGCCGGCCCTGATTGGAGGGTTTGAATGTCCCGCCAAGGTGGCTATTGGTTGGGGCTGGGGAATCCAGGATCCGAAGTTTCCTTTGTTTTTGGATCTAAGCTCTGGCCTGTCCGCGGACCCCTGGAGGCGGTCCACGTACATAACAGGAAGGGACTGAGGTTTGTCTCTGCAGAAAATCTTCCACGTTCCCCAGCCAATCGTGTTCAGGACAGGCAAGGAGAACCTCCCCCGAGCGCTGATAAATCCTCACCAAATAGAATCAGGGTCTGGGAGTGTCACGAATGAGAGCAGGAGGCGAGAAAGACGCATCCGGGAGGGGGGCCTTCCAGGCACCAATCCAGTCCAATGGCTCATCTGTGACGGAGGGAAGAGTTTATGGAGACTGACGAGGTGCCGGTTCGGAGGCAGCAGTGCTGCGGGGAGTCACCGGAGGCCGGGTGGATGCTTTCATATCCGGGGAGCAAAGCAGCCAAGGGCCCCCCTGTTGCAGGACTCCGGGTGGACGGCCAGCGGGGTTTGGGCAGGCAAAAGAGCAGCAAGTCCAGGGAACAGGCCGGCCGGCCCCCTCTGGCCCAGCGGGAAAGGGGAGGACCCAGAGCAGCCTGCTGGGGGTGGGGTGGGGGGGTGTCTGCAAGGGGCACCTGGATGCTTTGTCAGTATACATACAGCCCTCTCCTCTCGAGGGGTGTCGGTCAGGTAACACTGTCCTAAGCAGGGGTCATTTCGTAGAAAAAGAGGTGCAGGAGCTCATTAGCATAACTCATTAGCATAACTCATTTGCAAATGCCACACCCCCTGACATCACCGGAAATGTGTCAGAAGGCAAC